ATTTTCATTTTATTCGGCTTCTTGTTTTTTTTTTTTCCTTATTTTCAGGATTTAACAAACCATAAAAAATTGCAACGGTTATGAAGTAAATAATTTGGGATTGAGATTATCTCCATTGCAAAAGAACATAATACATGTTGTTTGAATTTTTCTCAAATTGGATCTTCAATTTTTTTATAATGGGAGCACACCTCGTTCTCTTTTATTACCTATATTTTCTTTTGCCAATAAAATATGAATATACCTTTTTTTAATGTAAAATGAATATAACTTACTAGATTAAATTAAAATTTAAAATTTATGATATTAAATTCATATTAGATTAAAATTATTGAAAATTCATTTATATATAGAACAATGTATAATCTTTAATTTAACACAATCTTTAATTTAACACATTCATTAAAAAATTATTATTTATAAATTTAAATTAAGAGTAAAAAAAACTTGTAAATTTTAGTGGCTGAATCAATAGGTATTAAAGAATGTATTGAACTATAAAATATACAAATCATTTTCTTTATAACTAATATATATTTGCAACAAAGTTGCAACAAACCATAAAAAAAATGCAATGGTTATAAGGTAAATAATATATATTTTGGAATTGAGGTTAGCTCCATTGCAAAGGAACATCGTACATATGCCGTTTGAATTTTTCTCACATTCGATTTCCAATTTCCTTTTATGATAGGAGCACACCTCGCGCTCTTTTTATTAGTCTGATTTTCTTTTGCCAATAAAAAATGAAAATAACTTGCAATTATGAAGTTTCTCAAATGTGTAATACAGTTATGAAGATTAAGGTAAAGAGAAAGTGGTCCCTGCTTCTTCGACTTCAGGCATAGATTCACTCATGGGGTTCACAACGTTGCTTTTATCTTCAATTGAAGGACGAAAGTTTTTGTTTCCTCCAATATCACATTTACACTTTAAATACACTTAACAGTGAATAAGAATTGATTAACAAATGAACAACCAAGATCAGGGCCGGAGCCAGAATTTTTTTTAGGGGGGACGAGATAATTTTTTATATATTAATTTACAAAATTTTTAAATTTTAGGAGAAATGAGATAATTTTTCATATATTAATTTACAAAAATTTTCAAATTTCAAGGGGCTACGCCCCTCCTGGC